AGAGACAGCAATGTCTGGGGTTAAATAAAAATTAAATACAGATCTGTGCATTATCAATATAGTTTTGTCATCACGGTTTGTTTTGACACATTGCCTGAATTCCCTATTGAGTACTGTGCACTAGACATTAATTAGGGAGCAGTGATGTATTACCACTTCTTCTGACCATCTGCTGACGTATTACTACACAAATAACAGAAAATAGCTAAGTGCCTTTAGAACATTTACTTAAAATCAGTCATTCAAGAATGCTCATCAGTCTTCTGTAAACCGTGAACTAGTGGTTTCTTGCATTTTCTCCACTAAACATCAGAGAATCCACACAAGGGGTGAGTCAAGCAGCCTTCCTCTCACTGGAAAAGTAAACAGCAGCTATCCCTTCTACCTGTCTGCCCATTTTCATGAAAACTGGGCAAAACTTTACAGCTTCAAGATTCCTGCGTTAAAGTTAAATACATTATCGGGATACACTCAGCACAATTAAAGAAATCGCAGTGCCTTAGGTCAGCAGACAGAAATCAACTAACTCTACCTTCTATTAACTCAAGTAATTTGAGACTCATGAGTTGGAACACACACTTTACTTATTTTACATTAAAAACTTACGTTACTGAGACAACAAAGAAAATTAAAGAATAGCTTAGGTTTTCATAGCTAACCATTCAACTGCCACAATATACTCGCATGAACGTTCCTGAGACTTAAAGCACCCTTTTGCAGTGGAACTGAGTTCCCAGAAGTGGTCTACATCAAACATTTCAAGAAAATTATAAGAAAAAAAACCAACCAACACTAAAAATCTACAGTAGATGAATGACGTGGGTCCAATCCAGTGCCTCAATAATCAGAGACATGATAATATACGCAAGGAATATATGGTCTGACTTGCCTGGCTTTCCTTAGTTTAATTTAAGGTGCTCTTGTTTATATAGTTAATTATTTTTACTTATGCGTAAACTACAGACAGATAAAGTTTGTAAGTCTAAAACTTGATCAGTTCTTCCCTTCTTTGTTTATAAGTTAGAAAAACTCATACCCACAAGTCCTTCTTAGCAGTACACTTTCACCTTTTTCAGTAGCCAAAGACAGCAGAGCAATACGGACTACTGTTCTCATGGAGAAAATGAAACCCAAAGACAGGCAAAAAATTATCTAAGTCTAATCATAACTAACCCTACCCTCCCCAACAAGATGTGAGGAAAAGAGAGAGATTGCCCTCTAGTGTTTAGTCACCAGAAGACAGTATAAAACTCTGTGAAAGGTTTTCTTAAATTCTAGCACTAAGGTCCAGTAAATGTTTGCAGAGCTGAATGGTAAGTGGTCTCAGCTGCATGAACACACTCGTGGAAGTAAGAAATTCACATGTGAAAGGCACTTTAATGACAAACACAGATTTGACTTGGCTTCTTCCCCCCACATTTACTGACCTTGTTGGGCTGGCTTGGATTTAACATTATGCATCACACCGACACCATGATTTATTGAGATCTAAATTACACACGCTTACTTTCAGGAGACTGCTATAAACCCATCTGTTTCTAAATGTGGGAGAAATCATTAATGGACTACAGCCAAGTAACTTCTGCAAATGCTGTCAGAGCTCTTTTGACCTACTGGCAACGTAACTAATGTTGGTTTCAGTAAGTATTGCATGTTTTGTTATTGAGACTATGAATTATCATATTATTGTTCTGCGCATTATGCAATGCATTATCTGCATGCATTGAAAACTGATTCAGACTGTCTAAGTAACAAAAACCCCACGCCACTGACTTTCTTTAAGGAGTCAACAGGTTACTACTAAGCTATCAAATGGAAAATGCATTTTTCTGCAGCCCAGAAGCTTTCATATTTTTTCCCCTTCATGCATTTGGACCTATAGTAAACAACTATTCTGGGGGGAGGGAGCAGCAAAGCTTTCTAACGAACCTCCTCCCCTCCTTCCTTTCCCCATATCCTAAAATGGATACGCTGGACCACAAGTCCACTTTAGTCAGTCTTCTACCCTGACTCTCCAAATTTAAGCTCAGGTGTTATTTTAGTTTGAACAGTTTTAGGAGTTTATCATACAGGCTGACATGTAATATACTTTTATTTCAAGAATTTAATTAATTAAATGTATAAGATTTCTTGAATTTTCAAGCAAAAACACTAGTTCTATGGCACCGTGATGAATTCTTTAACATACTTAACCTGAAGGTACATAAATTATTGTTATATTAGCACAGATACAATCATGCCTGGTTCAGAAGTATAAGTGCAGATCAATGGGGACAAGGTAACAGAGCAACACTGGATGCTAACTTTCTATGTTCTTTAGTAGTGGTTCAGGTCAGCACCTAAGCCACAACGCCACTGCGATTTTAGACACAGTTATATGACTTATATATATATTCACACACACAAGTATGAGCTATGCATGTATAATGTACATAAACTTGTCTGTAAAATTAGCTACTCCCACTCCAGTAGCTCATAGCTAAATATACTCAAACTACCTTTTTTTTGAAACCAGACTGCCATTTCTCACAGAAAAATCCTTAAAAAATAAAGAACTACCACACATTTTAATAAGAAAACTAGTATTCTGGGTTTTTTTTCTTTCAGTCTTTTATAAAGTGAAGTCTTTTGCAGTCACAGTTACAGAAGATTTTAAGAAGTTTTATGATACAGCATAATAAAATCATCAGGAGATACTTCAGAATATGAATAAGATTAGCAGTTATAAAATTCCAAACTGAACAGAGTGTCTCATTACTATAAACCCTCTCATTTGATTTCCCATTGAACAAAACAGTGAAGAGTGAGGGTAGTCTGTTCAGGGCTAGCAGACTTCTAATAGGTGAAAGAAATGTCTGACCGTTTCTTTCAATGCCTTATGTGCCTTCTGGTGTAAATGAGTAGTGTTCAGGTACTCAGAAAAGCAGAATACAGTTTTCAGGATTCACTGAATCAGAAACAGTCGCTAGAAGGAGGAGAAAAAAGCTTGACAGCCCTACGGAACTAACTCAGGACAGTGTCTCTTCAGATCGCAGGGCACAGCGTCCTGCTGGCTCATCCACCTGGACTACAGGCTGCCCCGGTGGCCTCCAACCCAGGCTTAGCCTGGGAGCAGGAACGTGCCCAGCAAAAACCACCCTTCTCTCCTGCCTCCTTCCCACTGCTCTTTTGCCCTTTCCTCCATCAGGTAAAGGAAGTACTGCCTTCCTCATGACACAGGAACAGGACGAGATTCCTCCCTTTCATCCCAAGGAAAACAGGAATAAACTGCAGCCAGAATCACTCACCCTATGCAAAACACATTCCCTGACTACTTTTAAAACAAGTTGGTCAAAAGCAGGTGTGCTGGGTTTGCAAGGCAGGGGTTTCGATAGCTACAGTCATGGCTCCTGTGAAAAGCTTCTCAAAAGCTCCCCTGGCTCCAAGTCAGACCCACCTCTGGCCAGGGCTGAGCCACTCAGCAACAGTGGTTGTGCCTCTGCAATAACATATTTAAGAAAAGGAACCTAAGAGGGGGTTGGGGACTTGTGAGGAGGAGTTGTAAGGAGGACACCTAGACAAACACTGAGGTCAGTGGAAGGAAGGAGGAGGAAGCAGGGGAGGTGCACTGGAGCAGAGACCCCCTGTACCCTGTGGCGAGATACCAGGGCTACCCCCTCTACCACCCACAGAGTTCCACAGTGTCAACCACAGAGGTCAACCTGCAGCCTATGGAGGAGCCCACACTGGAACAGGTGACTATACTCAAAGGAGACCAGGACTCTGTGGGAAGAAGCTGTTGTAGTTTGGTGTTTGGGGGACTGCAACACATGAGGTTGACCCATGCTGGATCAGCATGGGAACAGCTGCATCCCATGGGAAGGATTCATGTTGGAGAAGGTTCATGGAGTCTCTCATGAGAGTGGAACCACATGGAACAGGGGAAGAATGTGTGGCATCTACCCTCCTAAGGAGAAGGAAGGAGTAGTGGACTGACCACACACCACTAATCCTTGCCCACCGTGCCGCTGGAGGGGAAGACATAGAGAGATCAGTAGCAGAGCCGAGCCTGGGAAGAAGGGAAAGGTAGCAGGGAGGTGCGTTTGGATGTGGTGATGCTTCTCATTGTGCCATTCTGTCTGTCAAGTGGTGGTGGTGTTGTTTGAATTAAAGTGATGTTCTTTTTTTCCTTCCCCTAAGGAGTCTGTCTTTTGTTGGTGACCATAATGGGTGAGTCACCCCTTCCGGTCCTTATCTTGATTCCTGAGACTTTTGCTTCATTTTTATCCTTCCAGTGCTGGGAAGGGGGTGGGGGGTGGGAGTGAATGGCTGCATGGTGCTCAGTTGCCCTCTGGGCTCAAACCACAACAGCAGGCTTGTGGTACTTCTCCGCAGGCAGAAGGACCTACCTATGTGAAAGTCTAACTCAGTAAGCTTGAACACAAGAAACATACATAACTTTTTAAAAGCACTGACAGCTCAACACATCTGCAGAGATCAGGTCATACAGCAGGAAAGGACTGTGGCATACATTCATCCCTATCAAAGCAAATCACATAAAATTTGTGACTGAATGGTAGGCAACTCTGATCTAACTGAGGACTGATGAAACAGTATCCAGAACATGCATATTGTCTTCTTCATTGCAGTCATACATGAAAGCCAATAACAGATCTTTCCAAAAAGCATATGATAAAAAAGGAAACAAAAAATAATCTAAAAGGAAAAAAAAAAAAAGAGAAAAAAAAAAAAAAATCAAAGGGCTACTTTTTTTTTTTTATATATATTTTTTTCAAATCATCTGCTTCGTAAGTTAACAAAGCAAGCCCCCAGCTGACCAGAATGGAAAACTGCAATAGGGAGAACAGATCTTGCAGAAGAGTAGCAGTAAGGCTGAAAAATATCAAGAGGCCCATATTGACTCCCCTAAAATAAATTCTGTTTTCACAACACAGATATAGTAATAAACATCATCTTTGGCTCCCTACACAGACATAGATGCTGATGTCACAGTTACCTACCAGTCTGGCACTGCATGCCAATCGGTGAATATTCCACCTGTACATTGAGCACCACATTCAATGAGGTGACCTGCAAGGCTGGGAAAACAGCATTCCAATAACTAAACATTCAGTAAAATCATTTCACAATTCCAGCTTTGAAATATAATAGTAGAGTGGTAATAAAGCTAAATAACAGAACATGCTATTTATTTTCCTCCATAGGCATCCAATACATTTATAAATTAAGCATTAAACATAACAAGGAATTCTGAAAGATGAATGTAAGAAGAGCTGAAAGGAGTAACTTTTACCTGAAGAACCAAATTAAACTCCTGAAAAAAAAATGGACACCTAAAAGATTATCTGACACCAAAAAACAAGATTCATTGGTCACTTCAAGAAGTCTTGAGCTAAATTCAGTATCTTAAGTGTCTGCACTGTGTGTAACTAAATATGCAAAGACCATTTTCAAACCAAGAGATACAAGATCTCACTTCCAATATGAAGGACAGAATGTATTATGATTATGTATTCCGATTTTCAAATCTTTGCTTCTGATAGTCCACAAACACACAGCAGAAATACAAATAAAATCCTTATCTATCATCCCAAATTCAGTGGAGCCAGAGTTTCTCTCCACATTTATTCTCAAGCAACAGAAGATCCAAGTGTACTACTACTAGGTGTGCTTGGGTTACCTATGTAGTCACTCATTTTTATGGACTTCAATACAGTCAGATGATGCAGACAGTTAAATTAGGTGACAGAATTTTACCCTATGCTTTCTGTATCAGATCCCGAACCTTAGGACTTACAACTAGAGTTCGCAAACGGGAGTACTGATACTGAGCTTCTGCAAAACCACACAAGGATGCTGACCTCCAACTGAATCTCCTCCTGCACATCTTTGAGGATAAGACCCGCTACCATCTCAGCTATCAACACTGATGGCCAAACAGAAAAAGCTGGGAATCACTGGTCTGTATTGTAGGATTTCATCTCTTGGCACAAAATGGACAGGAAGAGAAAGTTACGCTGTTAAATAAAATAATGCACTCTTTCCTTATTTCATTATTTTAAGCTGGCTCCAGAATGAAGTTTCTATAATTTCAATTGTGAGTATTAAATGAGTCTTAAAAAAGAACCCAAACCCTAACAGAGACATTCAAATAAATTAATTCAATAATATGCAAAATTACTAACTGCTTAAAAAGTTCTGTTATCCTGAAATTGTAGGATATGAAATATAAATTTACCCAATACTTCTTATATCATTTACCTTCCTGCAGCTAGCAAGTCAAATTCATCTCTGTTCCAGCCAAACTAGAAGAAAAAAATACAAATATGTTAAACATATAAAAGTTTCATACAGTACAGTAAACGACATAGTATGTTTTAAGTAAAAATATATCCAATACATTGTTACTCAACTGCAGGAATCTAAAGAACAGTAACAGACAGGCACTGTGTGTGGATTTGAGTTCCTATACAGTAAATTAGGAGAACTCCAATGTATTTCAGCTTCCCTCTTACTAATACATCCAAACAAATATAAATTTTCAAAGTCACATCCTCTTCAAAAAATTGGAAGCACAATATTTGTATTTTTCAAAATTTGCATAATCCAAGGGTTTAAAAGTCTAGCACCTGTTTTGTGTCATGTAAACGAATCATTATGTTTTTTCAACTTTTGAAAATTATCACCAGTCATCCTTAAAACCTGGAAGTATGTTTTCTAACTAGAAATAATTTTTCCGAAGTTCAACACAATATATTGTTTCTTATTTGAACTTAGCAGAAAACTCCCTAAAACCTTTCAATAAATTAAATAAGGCCTCTCTGGAGAAAATAATACACACTGAAAACTACTTTAAGAATGTAAGCAGTTAGGACTACAATAATAAGTCATAATGGCAATCATAAATGGGAAAGTTTAATTCTAGATTAGGCAGTATTTGACATGAATGAAGTCAGAGGAGTATGAAGTTTTATAGAGGGTGTTTGTAACTAGACACTTATTCATACCCTCTTTGTTTTTTGTTTTTTTGGTTTTTTTTTTGTTTGTTTGTTTTAAATGCACCAAAAAAAAGCTTCCGTATTTCACAGTGTGTGGTCATCCACAGAAATGTATAACCTATTCAAAATACTTCAGAAAACCACATATCCTGCTTGTATAATTTGTTGAAATTCAAGGAATTTGAAAAATTCAGCTACTTAAAATAAAACTGCTTACCCATTGAAAAAGACCAGTGTTTTAGACCACATCATGTGCCTCCCCACCCCCGCAAAACCAAAGCGAGCTCTACTATCACTACCTTGTGGCACAGAAAAAAAATACTTGTTTTTTAACATTACACACCACATTTTAAAGAGGGGAAGGAAAAAAGGAAGAGTAAAATACTGGTGAAACATGGTAAGACTTCCTTAAATTCACTGAAACACTTTCCAGCTTCATGATACACACATTCATAAATATCCCTGCTATAGGCTTAGGAGAAATCAAAGATGGCAACTTTTCACGTGTGTAAGGAAAAAAAAAATTAGGGTGCTCATTAATTTGGTATCTACATTTTCATAAGGAACAAAAATTGTGTCACAATGACTGCTGAATATTCTTTCACGCATCTTCATTATCATATGGAAATTAACTTGTACTTACAGAATGAATGAGTGGTCCTAACACAATCCCACTGTCAACGCATCTACCTGTCACAACAATATCGGCTCCAAGGTCAAGAGCCCTGCTTATTGGCCTTGCGCTAAAGATGAAAAAACACAACAGTAAGTACTTTTACTTTTTAAAGCATCAATTAAAAAAAAAAAAAAATCAGTTCTCTGCCACACACAGGATAAAAATCACTTTAAAATCCCATAGGAAATCAACAAAATCAACTATGAGAGAATCATCATCATCGAATCACAGAATGGTTTGGGTTGGAAGGGACCTTAAAGACCATCTAGTTCCAACCCCCCTGCCCCGGGCAGGGCCCCCTTCCCCCAGCCCAGGGGGCTCCCAGCCCCGTCCAACCTGGCCTTGAACCCTTCCAGCTTCTCTGGGCAACCTGCTCCAGTGTCTCACCACGCTCACAGTGAGGAACTTCTTCCTTACATCTAATCTAAATCTACCCTCTTTCAGTTTAAAGTAATTATCCCTCATCCTATCCCTACAGACCCTTGTAAAAAGTTCCTCTCCAGCTTTCTTGTAGGCCCCCTTTAGGTACTGGAAGGCTGCTGTAAGGTCTCCTTCTTCTCAAGGCTGAATCACCACAACTCTCTCAGCCTGGCCTCACAGGGGAGGTGCTCTGGCCCCCTGAGCATCTTCGCGGCCCTTCTCTGGACTCACTCCAACAGGTCCATGTCCTTCTTACGTTGGGAGCCCCAGAGCCCAACACAGTACTCCTGGTGGGGTCTCGCAAGAGCAGAGTAGAGGGGAGAATCCCCTCCCTGGCCCTGCTGCCCACGCTGCTCTTGATGCAGCCCAGGACACGGGTGGTTTCTGGGCTGCAAGCGCCCATTGCTGGCTCACAGTCAGTTTTCCATCCACCAACACCCCCAGGTGCTTCTCCACAGGGCTGCTCTCCATCCACTCATCACCCAGCCTGGATTTGTGCTTAGGATTTCCCTGACCCATGGGCAGGACCTCGCACTTGGCCTTGCTGAACTTCATGACGTTCATATGTGCTCACCTCTGAAGCTTGTCAAGGTCCCTTCCCACCGCACAGCTTGGTGTTATCAGCAAAATTCCTGAGGGAGAACTCAATCCCACTGTCCATGTTGCCAACAAAGATGTTAAACAGTGCCAGTCCCAATACTGACCCCCGAGGAAAGCCACTTGGCCACTGCTCTCCATCCAGACACGAAGCCATTGACCACAACTCTGAGTGTGAATATCCCGACAATTCCTTATCCATCAAGTGATTCATCTGTCAAATCCACATCTCTCCAGTTTAGAGACAAGGATGTCATGCAGGACAGTGGCAAATGCTTTGCACAAGTCCAGGCAGATGACAGCAGTCGGTCTTCCCTTATCCACCAGCACTGTATCCCTGTCATAGAAGGCCATCGAATTTGTCAGGCACAATTTGCCCTGAGTAAAGCCATGTTGGCTGCCACCAGTAACCTCCTTATTTTCCATGTGCCCTAGCATAGTTTCCAGGAAGATCTGCTCTATGATTTTGCCAGGCACAGAGGGGAGACTGACTGGCTTGTAGTTCTCCGGGTCTTCTTTTTTTCCCCTTTTTAAAAATAGGGGTTATGTTTCTCCTTTTGCAGTCAGCAGGAACTTTACCGGACTGCCATGACTTCTTAAATATGATGGATAGCAGCTCAGTCACCTCATCTGCCAGTTCCATCAAGACCTGTGGATGCATCTCATCAGGTCCCCTAGACTTCTGCACATTCAGGTTCCTTAGATGATCTCAAACGTGACCTTCTCCTACAGTGGGCAATTATTCATTCTCCCAGACCCTGCCTTTGTGTTCTGCGACTTGGGCAATGTGGCTGGAGCACTTGCTGGTAAAGACTGAAGCAAAGACGTCACTGAGTACCTCATCCTTCTCCACATCCTGGGTAACCAGGTCTCCCATTTCCTTCCAGAGAGGGCCCACATTCCCCTAGTCTTCCTTTTATCACTGATGAAAAGCTTCTATAGGTACTTGTTGCCCTTGACACCCCTGGCCAGATTTAATTCTAACAGGGCTTTGGCTTTCCTAACCTGATCCCTGGCTGCTTGGACAATTTCTCTGCATTCCTCACAGGCTACCTGTCCTTGCTTCCACCTTTGGTAGGCTTTCTTTTTGTGTTTGAGTTTGTCCAGGAGCTCCTTGTTGTTAAACAACTTTAAAAAACAATTTGTCATTTTGTACATACAACAAGAATATTTTTAAAAACAATCATCAGAACAGCCTATCAAATTCAGGTACCTAAATGACATAATTGAAGCACTTCTCTTGATGCTCACAGAAACTGTCTTGAACATAGAGGGTCACTTCTATTACAAGTAACAGAAAATAACAAGTGTTTTTCAGAGATTCGTTACTCTTACTTCATCTGTAGATGAGTGTATAGAGACCATCTCCCCAGAGAAAACTGAATGACTTTGATCTCCAATTTTAAACCTCTCAGGTCAATTTCTGTAAGTGTTTTTATAATTTGCAACATCAACCAACTTCAAGAGCAGCATTGTGCAGTCATTATTTTCAAAGAAACTCAGGTTGGTCCAGGTAAGAGTTGGCCCAGTCAAAATTAGTCAAACTTGAAAATATTCACCCAGGTAAACTGCTCAAGTTGATACACTTTAGTGAGCAAGCTTTGACCAGTGTCACTCCTGGACTCTAAACCCATGCTGTCTCCTGGATCCTTCTATTCTTCATGAAATAAACAGCTTGAAAACACAAACGATGTAAACCATGTGCCTTGAAGAACAAAATTAAAAGCAGTGTTTTTCTACAGTTCCTATAGACTTAGCCCTGGTTTTGACAAGAGATGTTAGAAGACGTGGAAGTTCTCTGGGTGATGTAAGCATAAAATGTAAGCATGTTGGTTTTCTTCCCAATGTTACATGAACCAAAGGATACTAGTTAGGACAACAAGCAAATATATAGCATACAGAAACAATTTACATCTATGGGCATGGTGTTAAGTAAAAGTGACAGGTAAAAAGCACAAATGGGGTTTCTGCATACATACGTACAGGATACTGATATAAAAAACTGTCTAACTACCTTTAAAATGTAGTAAAGCAAGCCATTGGGCTCTTACTATTAAAAATGCACATGAACTAAGTCCACAGAACTCCTAATAGTCCAAATCAGGAGGGACCAAAGAAACACTTCAGGATTGAGCTCCCAGTGCAAATTTTTCACACTTGAATTTCTACACACTTGAATCAAACTGTAAACACCATCATCTTTAGGGAATTAAAAGTGAACTATCTACAGAATTTACAGATTTTACCCAATACACTCTGACATTGACTTGCTTTACAGGTGTATATGAATTTATCATTTGCTTTACAAATAACCATCCACTGCTGATGCTGTCAAAGAAATATTTAACTTACAAAACAACTAATTTGAGAGGCTGATAACAGCTTTATGTTTCAATACAACTGAGATTAACGAGCCCATAAAGAAATACCGCTTTTATTAGAAAACAAATAGTAGAGTCCACTGTTCTAGCATCTGTTAATGAAGCAGAGAAAGGGATAACAGGCTTTTAGAATGCCTCATCCTCATACTAGCCTGCTTTTGTCCTCTCTGCTTTGATTTCCATTGCTTTTTAAATTCATGAATAAATCATGAAGCACCAAAACACTTTCTCACAATTACCAACCTTAAAATACTATTTCTTAATTTCATTTACAGTTACTCGTGATATGCAAACGTTGCAAGTCAAAGTCTAACAAACAGAAAATCCGGTAGCAACAGAAAACACTAAAGACAAATTTTAAAAGACTCCTCTACTAAAAGATTATTATTTTACAGAGAAAAAATACATGCTGTCTTAGGTATAGCCACACGCTGCTATCTGCCAGTGATGCATTTTCAGAAAGTGCAATGATAATGATAAAAGACAGAGCACAGCAGTTCTCCCATAAAGATTAACGTAAAAGAGGGGAGACTCTGTGCACAGACTTTCGAAATACACCAAACAGAAATACAGGAGGGATGACATACATGACATGGAGGATGGAAACGCAAAACCAGGATCACCAACTGGAAAAGATGCTAGCTTTTGGGAACACCTGACCATTGTCCCATTTCTCAGTCCTTCCCCTTTGATAGACTTGACTGAAGTCTGAAGTTGATAGTTACGATGAAAATGCAACATTTCACAGTTACCTAGAACATCCGCATTTCGAGATTTATGGGAGGCCTTTAGTATCATAAAGGAGGCAAGGGAAATCTTTCAAAACAGTGATCCATGCTGGAAAGCCAGCTTCCAAAATTCCAACAGTACAAAGCCTGACACACAATTCAACACTGCCTAACGAAACCTCCTACAGCACTCAGAGCATGTCCCCGTAACTTTAATTCCTCAGTTGAACTTCTCTAGTGACATCATCCTAAACAGCTGCTCCATCCAGCAACAAGATACTCTGCATATGAAAAAGGGTTTTTATGATTGTTATAATTAAAATAAAACTATTTTGGCCTGAATTAAAACATGAGGATTCACAGGAGATGTAACATTATGGAGTCACATCTAGCAAGGTTCTAATTAAAAGTTTATTTACAAGTTGCAAAAAAAATTTTTGGTTTTGGTTGCCTGCATAATGCAAAGGTGAACCTCACACACTAGGTAGTTCTACTTGCAAAACAAACCAATTTCATCTAGTCACTATGCTAAAGTTATTTTTCCATAATAAAAAAAAACTTGTTAAAATAACTCACCCAAGATACACATTCATGCTATGAACACTCTCTGGAAATTGTTTGCCAGTCTCTAAATCAGTGATACCAGCTCCTTTTAAGTTCTCCTTCTGTTACAAAACAAACAAAACACCAGATCTATGAGTATTTTTCAGTCAGACAACAGATCCACTTCATAGCAAGTCTAAGTATAATCATTAAAATTAGCAACAATACAGATCAGTTGAATGGCCAAAAAGCCCTAGCCACGCTTTTAACCATTGTTTTCCAGCACACAAAAAAAAAGTCAGTCTTTAAAGAATGCTAGTTCATTCACAAATGATCCAACTACAACAAATTGGTATATTCCCCAGGCTTTTAAACTGTCTTTAATTGCTGTAGGACGGAATAAATCAAACCCTGCGAACAGAAATCTGCCTGCCATAATGACAACGGTGGCGTAGCCAGAAAGCAAGGCTAATTCTGCAGATCCAGGTGATACTCAGGATACATTATGTTTCCAAATAGGTAGGTAGAGGGGTGGGCATTTCTGACAGTGCATTGGGGAATGCTTGGGAAACCAGTGGATCCAGGGACCAGTCACTGCACAGACTCAATGTCCAATGCTAATTACAAGGGGGATCTAGAGTGTGGGAAAAAACCTTCCACTTTGAATTAACTTGGTATTTTGTGGCAAGGATTAAAATCCTCCAAACCACAAACAATATTTACTGGTGATAGCAAACATCATAAATTACACTAGGAAATGTTGTCTGTAGACAGTGAAAACTGTCTCTTTTTTGTTCCTAGAAGTTATGTACTGACAACAGCACAGAAAATAATCCATTTCAGATCAGTAACTTCTAAGCCAAGCTCAAATAAGACCATTTCACTGTCGTACCATTAATTAAATTCTGAACCACTGATACTAAAGTAATTTCAGTAGGACAGAAGTTTCTTGAAAGGAAGTCCAAGCACTGCACATGATTTGCAAGTAAAGAATCTTACTTGACCACCTTCCACATCCAATAGCATGCAAGGAGTAACAGAGCCTATACAGATAAGTAATTTTCCAAGTTACAGGCAGAGATTTAACCACAGTGCAAACCTATCCCCTCTTAACCGATATCTATGTATAAAATGTTTTCACAGCATCTTTTCAGATATGGCCAACACTTTTTGTGGAAACAGACTTCACACATAAAGCGCCATCCTTTAAGTCAAAAAAAGACACACATTTAATCTTTAGATTTCAAGGGGTTTTTTAATAATTACAACTGAAATCCATAAACTAATTACTTAAAATCAGAAAAACAGCTACCTGTAAAAAAAATAACAGGAAATGCCTATGAACCACTAAAAACAGCTAGAGGGGATGAATATTTGAACACGCGGTTATACCACATTTAAATTTAAGAGATTTAACATTCAGGATTATTTAGTTTAGACAGAAACAGTAAGTAACAGCACATCCTAGCTTCTCCTGGACAGCAAACAGACCTTAGATCAGATTCACAGTTTGCTTCAAAAAGATAAACAGCAGATCCACAGTCTTATAAAACTCACCATCATACACGAAACATAAGATTAGCCAAAAATTGTTTTCATGCATAAAAAAACCCAAGAAAAATAAAGCAGTAGTTTTTAGACGCTTTGACGGTAGAAGGCTACCACATAACGATACACAAAATAAGTTCCTATAGGATAGTAAATGCCACCTTCATGCTATACAGACTGAAAAAAATGTCACAGTGCTACTAAGCCTTAAGACAAAGTAAAATACCTCACTCATTAGGTCATCTCCAGTAACAACAGCTATTTTCAAATCAACGTCTGCTTTCTTTGCCACCTCCTCAAGGGCAGCTGCACAAGCAAGTGGATTAATTCCACCAGCATTACTGATGACACGAACACCTAAGCAAAAAAGACAAATTAAGTTCAGCAGCATCAACAGTCACTTGTGTTTTAAAAACATAAAAGTGTACTGAAACACAAGCAAGATACCATCTTTGCAAGGTGTCTGGCATCTGCTGAAGTGAAGTACTAAAATCACATTAATATATGAACACTATTTAACCTGTGAAAGATTAAATGTTGCATTGGAATAAGCCAACACAAATTGTTCACAGAAAAGTAATTGTTACAGACAATTCTCATCTTTCCCTTATGTAGGAGAAGAGAAAGTGACGAAAAAGACATACATGAGGCAGGCAGACAGTACGGAAACAACTCCTACAGGTACAGTATCTGACACCAGTCATTCAAGCATCCATGCTCTCCAAACAACTGCATTTTAACAGAAATACACATCTATCTATAAATTCCAGACTGTGTTAGGAAGGTACTGGTTACTTAGAAGTAATTCCCTTTCTCCTCTCAAGCTCAGAAAGCTGCAAAGTTATACTAATTTAAACAGGAAAAAGCTATCAGAAAACAAGTGATATTCTAGAACTATATGGGAATGTTGAAAAGCTTTTAGATCGCATTGAAAATGTCTGGATCTCACGTTTTAAAAAAGATCTGTAAAGCGATCTTCCATTCACGAATTAAAGCTGCAATAAGAAATACACGAAGATATACGTATATATTTATAATTATAGCAAACATTTCAAATTAAGCCAATTTAAACATCATCATCGGACCTGCACTTCCCATCTCTTATGACAGGATTTTTGCTGATGTTTAAAACATTATTCCTACAGGACAGCAAAATGCTGGGGTAAAAAACAGCTGTTTATAGCAAGAGAAGCCACAAAACTCATCTAAGCAAGTGAACTTAATTAACATAGAAAGTCATGCAAAGCGTAGCATACCTTTCCTGTGAATGTCTTTTATATAGGGAGCCATAGCAGCGGAGACAAAATCCGGAGTGTAACCTAAACCCTGAAATAATTAGAATCTGTCAACATTTGCTACAGTTAAGTCAATCAAATCCCTTTTCTCGGTTAACAGAAGAAACAGGGAAGAACAACTAGCTCTCAAAACGTTTGGATAACTCTACAGAAAAAGGACGTGAACGCTTCTACTAGATGAAACTGAAAATGATAAAATAAATATATACACGCAAGTAAGAGGCATAGACAAGCAAGCGCGTCTCCATAGCCTGACATGTCTTAAGCCGGCTCCGAGCGCGATGCGGGTGGGAGCAAGGCCCGGGACCTGCGCGCCCCCCGCCCCGGCCCTCTCGCCTCAGCCACGCCGGGCAGAGGCTCCCGGCGGCTACTTACGGGAGAGCGGGCTTTGGCGGCCGTCAGCAACGACATGGTGATCTCGGAGAGATAGTCGAAGACGAGGAAATCCAGCTTCCCCCCGTACAGCAGCTGCGGCACTGGCGGGCAGGGAAGAACCCGCCGTCAGCGCCGCCGTTCCCCGCCCGGCCGCGGGTGACCGACCGCCCCCCCCGCCCCGCCCCGCCCGGGCGTGCGGCGGCAGCCCCGGCCCGGCCGCTTGCGCAACGGGGCTGTTTGCGGCCTTTCCAGGCCTCGGCGCTCCGGTGCCCCAAGCCGGGGGCCCCCCGCCACCCCGCCGGGGCTCCCCGCGGGCGGCAGCCGCCGCCGCCGCCGCCGCCGCCTACCTGCGGCCGCCGTGTCACCCCAGAAGCCTGAGGCGCAGCCGATGCGGACGGCGGCCCCCGCCGGGGGCTCGCAGCCGGCGCTGCGCCGCCTGCTCCAGCGGGGCGGGCGGGCGGCGACCCGCAGCAGCCGCGGCCCCCGGCGCCCCAGCAGCGCGGCGCAGCTCATGGTGGCGGCGGGCGGGCTCCTCGGCGCCGCCCCTGGCCGAGGCCCCGGCCCGCCCCGCCCCGCCCCGGCCCGGCCCAACCCGCCTTCGGGGCCCCGCGGAGGCGGCTGCGGGGAGCGGCGGGAGGAAGTTTATAAACCCCGCGTTTGCCGGGGGAAATGGCGGGCGTGCTCGGGGGTCTCCGCTCGGCGCTAGGCCGCGGCTGCGCTCCAGGACGCGCCGAAACGGGGCGTCTGGGTTGATTGCGGCCCGCGCTGGACGTGGGTCAGTGGCCCGGCGGGTTTGGGGCTTCCGTCATCCCTGAGGTGCCGCGGGCTGGGCGAGGGCAGCCGTGTCACGGCTGGAGCGCCACGCGTGGGGTGGTGGGGTTAGCCTGGAAAGCGGAGACCTCGCTCAGGGTTGTGGTAACGTCAAAAGCGTGTCAGGTAGGCTGGTTGTGAATTTCTTACGAAACCTTCTCCTCCTCCCCTTAAAAAATAAATAAATAAATAAATTATTAAAAAATAAGGCTTTCTGTGGGAATACGTGTCTCAGTTCTGGCAGGAAGGGTTTATCGGGTCCCAGACTGAATTCCTAGTCGGTGGACATGAGGTAAATGCCACCAAACCAGCAAATTCCCTAGTATGTAGAGTTTCCCGGTGCTGAAGCCTGCACTGGGGGGCTGTCTTTGAACCTCTCCTCAGAGACCTCATCACGTAAGGGGGGGCTTCAGGATGAATCCTTGTCTAGAGAGTATCCAAGTCATTTGACTGATACGACAGGGACTGTGACTGAAGCAGTCTTGCATGCTGATCCGATGCAGTAACTGCTAGGTCTGCCGTAACACACACTTGGATTCTAGATGGGTTTGAATAACCGCTTGCAAATGAAACATTTCTAAAATGTGGGGTCTTTGCAGGAAGGCTGAAAAAATAAAATGCTCAGTGTGACATGATGCTAAGTATATGATGAGGAGAGGTGGTTTTACTGATGTAAAAAGTAGCCATGTTGAAAGTATTTAAGTACTTTTGAAAATTGTTGATAAAGCATCCAATTAGACTAATTTCTAATTGCAGTTAGAAATTATGCAGCTGAGAGAAAATAGAAAATAGCCATGCTGTGATCTTTGAATTTGGTTCTTTATTTAGGGAAGTGAAATGTTTTTGTGTTGCAAGGAAGTCACAAAGCACCATCTTCTAACCTTCCAAGTCCCTAAGAAATTGCAATTACTGTACTAAGTTATGAAACAGGCAGAACCAAGGAGGTCACAGAGAAACAAAAGCTGGTTCCCTATGCATAGAGAGGACCAAAATTTTGATCGTTAAATTAATAAAGGATTTATTTATTATGTTGAAAACTTACAGGTTTTGAGTCCCTATAAACTAGTAAACATCCAAATAATAACAGTGGGGGGGAAAAAACCCCACATGTTATGTATACTTAGCTGACTCCAGATAGCTTTGTCCTAAATGTACCAATGTGTATTTATTGTCGCTCCTTAAAGTAAATTTTGAATCAAGAACTAGAAGGAGCACTGTGTGGTACAACATACACAGCTATCAGTATAGCCATAAAAACAAACGCTTTCTGTAGTTAAATTTTCAAGTGCCTTCCATGTGCATTGCAATATGTAAGATTCCAGCATACTGTAACGTAGCAGCAAAGGTGGCTAATCCTCAGCAAGTCTCACATCCCATGGTGAAATTCAAATGCAGTTTAACTTGGCTGAGACTCCATAATCAACATCCTGCAGCCCTCACTCACTTCTATGCTTAAACGTATCCAAAATAATTGTCAGTCACTAGCAAACATAATCGTTTATAACCCATGAATTTAAGTAAAACTCCCGCTGAAATGGGTTGGGCCAAGATTTCATGCTGCAAAACTGAATTTCTGACATGAAAAGACAAGGCTGCTCAAACAAAGCGAGCCCGAGGCCAGCAGATGGCTGTGTTTCACCACCGTTCACACTCGCCTCGCATGAGAAACGATCCCCGGCCCAAAAAGTGTCACCTACTCCTGCCAGCATCCCCTGTGCTGTCTGCACTACCCAGAGGTGCAAATGTCTGCATTTTGCCTGGGGTGAACAAATGCATTTCGTCCATATTGATACAGAAATCTTCACGTGCACGTGCGAACATTCGTAGAACAGTCTTGGAATCTAGAAAGTGCTTTGTTCTTTTAACTTCTTTCAAATATTTTCATAGCATGGATTTTGGCAGCAACTGCTCATGGTTCTGTGATGGGCTGGATCCCACTTTGTCAGAAACCACTGTAAAGCTCTTATGGAACGTGAATATAAGTTTAACAAATTTGCATATGGATGTTTACATGTGTGATAGGATTAATATCCAACATGTGTAAGATACTAGGACAGCGTTGCAGTAATGATTAGTTCAGAGCCCATTCTTGCATCTTTGAGGTTAGGATTGTTTTGATGAAAACAGAGGCATGTTATTTAGAGGCTGTTTTCCAGGTAGGCTTGGGAAGCAATGTTCTATGATGGTCAAGTTGTAATTTTGAGATGTTGTCCTTTATGTGATTTAAGAGATTATAGAAGCAGTTTATTTCTCTTTGAGGACATCAGGTGGCACTGTGTGGTTACTAGTGAAGCCCAGAAGAAGCTACAGTCAGTAACAAGTCTATGTGAAATTAATACATGGAGTCGCTAGTAGAAAACTTGACTCCATTTGTGGCCTAGATAGGGGATACAGGTCAACAATAATAGACACCATAATTCTGTCGCGTGGCACAAATCCACATCCATTGGCTCTTAAGAGTAAACCAGATTTTTAATTCCTCTCAAGTTGTGAGAAGGAAGGGGGGAAAAGTCTTCTGGTGTTAATTTTTATGCTGGAGAAAGAAAGAGGTTACAGAGTAGAAAAATAAAAGAATATAATTTTTTTTTCTTACTCATGGTTCACATGTTGGTCGGTCTGAGATTTGGTTTCTTTCAGTCACCCTAAATACTTAGATTTACTGTTATTTTGCTAGTGCCATTAATTTTTCAAATGTAGGCCTGCGCTTCCCTTCCTGTAAACAGATTGGTGCACCACCATGGAGCACAGAAGATGTATAAAGGAAATGTGAAATTCATTCTTCTACTACCATCATCCTGAGTTAACAGCATTCAGAGCTAATCTTGGAAGTCAAGGAGGACAATGCAGAGTACATTTTTTCAAAGCAAGTACATGTTCCATTATTTTTCTAGGATTTTTTCTGACAGTCAGGCTTCCTCTGATTGCTTAAAAAAGTACAGGCAAAATGTTTCACAGACCTGGGTTTTATTGTGAAATACATTACATTTTTCCTGTGTTTCCTTTAATATCACTGTAAATAAGTTCCTGTCCTAACCAATAGTATCAGCAAATACCAGCAAATATTTTAGTTTATTGAGTAGGCTCTGTTTAGTTTATTGAGGCTCTGTCCTCTCAACTAATTACAAAATATTCAGCAAATATTTGAATTTATTACTTATTCCCACAAATAAGTGCATCTCTTTGTTTAACAAATGTAGTTCACTGCTCTTGCCCTCAAGGTAAAGCATACACTGCAATCTCTCTTTTGCAGGCAGTCGGAAAACCAACCTTTCCTAAGTGAATCAACAGTTGAAAATGATCTCTGTAAATCAGTAAAGGAAGAGAATTTGCCGTGTTGCATCTAATACCCCTATATAAGGCACAAATAACTCAAAGCTCAATAATGACGTTTAACCGATCCCAACACATGGTTTGGGGGTTTGCAGTATTATAGTAGATTTTTAGCATGTTTAGATTTTTAGCATGGGACTCAAAAACGTCAGCTGTGACAAAGCAATAAAATGTCTCATCTTCTAAACTATATTGATTTTGTTCCTTTATATTCCATTTCTGTTGGTTTTAGAGGTATGTTCTCTCTTAATTTCTTAAGACTTGAGTAAAGTTTAAATAATTAATTTTATTTAAATAAAGTTTAATGTATGAAAATAAGTAAACACTGAACAGACACACTACAGGATTTCTTAAAAATAAGAGAATAGCTCATTAAGACTATCAAACCATCATTCTTATGGACATGAGGTATTTTCAGAAGTACTTTAATGATGAGGTGTTCTGATTTTTGGCCTTTTTAGGTGTTAAATACTTTTGAAAAGATGTGTGTAATAATATTTGAAGTCAAAATAAGAACAATATTTTAAAAGTGATGCATTAGCTACATTAAAAAGAAAAACCCTAACCCTTGGTTATTCTTTGCAGAAATCAGAGTGTCTTTTACATTGCTGTATTCTGTAGAAAAAATGCTGGAAAAAATGACCAACAGAACATGAGTCACAAGCCAATTTACTTATAGCAGTCATCGGTGCTATACTGATGCAGTACACATCAGTGTACTTATGGGAGTATACATAAGTGTAGTTTCCCTGCTTAGATTTAACACAATATAATGTCCCATCATTAGTTAAGACTACATTCTAAAGGAGGTGAAAGGATCTCTTCTGTATTCACAGTGTGCACGCAGCAAAATATCCCATGAATTCTTTCCAAAATGGAAAGCCGTAGCTGATAAGAAATACATACATTCCATACTTTTCCTCAGAAACAGAACAATTTACAGCCTGAAGCATAGTGAATGTCTGTCCTGGTTTCATAAGTGACAAGAAACAAAAGCCTCTCCCATGCAGAGCAATTGAGAACTGATTTTGCTGACTCACAAATCCTCCAGGCATTTCACTTCAGGAAGGGTGAGGAAGAAGACTGTTGCACAGGGTGGACTATTGGATTGGCAAAAACGTTGCCATTTACCTTTTGCCCAAGTTTTGAATATTGAAAGAGAAAGAGAAAGATGAGTTACAAAACAAAGTAAAGTAGGCGATTTATTCAATATTTACTTTTTTGGGGTTTTCCACATTTACTTTTGGTATTTATTTTTACATAAGAAAATCAACTTCTGAAGTATCAAAAAAAAAATCTCAAGTTCAACACAAGTACACTGAACACTTTCTGTTAATAACAAAACACCATTGGAATTGTTAAGAAGGATCACTCTAGCATTTCTGAAATGGTATAGA